TGGAATTCCCCATTTTTGTGCCTTTTTGCCCCGTTTCAGTCCAAGCTGGAGAGCCGGGAGTACCGGGACGCTCAGGAATTCGCGGCCGACGTGCGGTTGATGTTCTCCAACTGCTACAAGTACAACCCCGCCGACCACGAGGTGGTGGCCATGGCCCGCAAGCTGCAGGTGAGAAAATAAAAAAAATAAAACAACAAACCCCACCCCTTTCCCCAAAAAAAAAAAAAAAAAAGCTGATTCAGCAATAAAAAAAAAAAAAAAAAAAGTTTCCAAACGGGCGTTTCTCCTGGTGGAAGTGAGCCGAGCCCGGCGTCACTTCCCGGCCGCTCCCCGGTGGTTGCAGGACGTGTTCGAGATGCGCTTTGCCAAGATGCCGGACGAGCCGGAGGAGCCGGCGATTCCCGCCTCGTCGCCCGTGGTGGTGCCGCCCCCCACCAAGGTGGCGCCGCCGTCGTCCAGCGACAGCAGCAGCGACAGCTCCTCCGACAGCGACAGCTCCTCCGACGACTCCGAGGAGGAGCGGGCGCAGCGCTTGGCCGAGCTCCAGGAGCAGGTGCTGGGCGCTGGGGGGGAGGGGGCCCAGGGGTCCTTTTGGTGGGGGTTGGGGGGGCTCGGGGTCACGGCTGGAAGTCGTGGGTGTCCCACGAGCGCCAGCTCCAGAGGCAGAGAAATCGTTGGGTTTGGTGAGCTGAAATCATTGGGTTTGGTGACCCCAAATCGTTGGGTTTGTTGACCCCAAATTGTTGGGTTTGTTGAGCTGAAATCGTTGGGTTTGGTGAGCCGAAATCGTTGGGTTTGTTGACCCCAAATCGTTGGGTTTGTTGACCCCAAATTATTGGGTTTGCTGAGTTGAAATTGTTGGATTTGGTGAGCTGAAATCGTTGGGTTTGCTGACCCCAGATCATTGAGTTTGTTGACCCCAAATTGTTGGGCTTGTTGACCTCAAATGGTTGGGTTTATTGACCAAAATTATTGAGTTTGTCGACCCCAAATCATTGGGTTTGTTGACCAAAATTATTGAGTTTGTCGACCCCAAATCGTTGGGTTTGTCAACCCCAAATCACTGGGTTTGTTGACCAAAATCATTGAGTTTGTTGACCTCAAATGGTTTGGGTTCCTGAGCTGAAATCGTTGGATTTCTTGATCCCAAATTGTTGGGTTTGTTGACCCCAAATCGTTGGGTTTGTTGACCAAAATCATTGAGTGTGTTGACCTCAAATGGTTTGGGTTCGTGAGCTGGAATCGTTGGGTTTCTTGACCTAAAATCGTTGGGTTTGTTAACCCCAAAGTGTTGGGTTTGTTCACCAGAACTTGTTGGTTTGTTGACCCAGAATTGTTGGGTTTGTTGACCCCAAATGCGTGGGTTTGTCCACCAGAACTGTTGAGTTTGTTGACCCAAAATCACTGAGGTTGTTAACCTCAAATGGTTGGGTTTTCTGAGCTGAAATTGTTGGGTGTCTTGACCCAAAATCGTTGGGTTCGTCGACTCTAGATCGAGAGTTTGTTGACCCCAAAGTGTTGAGTTCGTTGACCCCAAATCCTTGGGCTTCTTGACCCAAAATCCTTGGGTTTGTTGACTCAGGATCATTGCATTTGTCACTCCAGAACTGTTGCATTTGTTTACCTGAAATTTTTGAGTTGATCCGGCGTCATTGGGTTGGCCCAAAGTTGTTGGGTTGACCAAGAATGGTTGGGTTTGTTGACCTAAGAATGGTTGGGTTTTTTGACCTTAAGTCGTGTTGGGTTAACCCAAACTTGTTGGGTTTGTGGACCCCAAATCCTTGGGTTCGTTGACCTAAAATCTGTGAGTTTGTTGGCCTGGAAGTGTTGGGTTGACCCAAAATCCTTGAGTTTGTTGACCCAAAACTCAGTGACCAGGTGTGGTCGGCTATGGGCTGGGTTTGGTGGCCCTGGAGGTGACCCCAGGTGTGTTCAGCCCCAGGTGGGATCTCCCACCTTAGAGGTTTCCATGGAAGGTTGGAGGTGTCCATGGAAGGGTTGGAGGTGACCCCAGGTGTGGGCAGCCCCAGGTGGGATCTCCCACCCTGCAGGTGCCCAGGGAAGGTTGGAGGTGTCCAGGGAATGTTAGAGGTGACCCCAGGTGTGTTCAGCTCCAGGTGGGCTGTCACACCCTGCAGGTGTCCATGGAAGGTTGGAGGTGACCCCAGGTGGGCTGTCACACCATACAGGTGTCAATGGAAGGGTTGGAGGTGACCCCAGGTGGGCTGTCACACCATACAGGTGTCCAGGGAAGGTTGGAGGTGTCCATGGAAGGGTTGGAGGTGACCCCAGGTGGGCTGTCCCACCCTGCAGGTGTCCAGGGAAGGTTGGAGGTGTCCCCAGGTGGGCTGTCCCACCCTGCAGGTGTCCAGGGAAGGGTGGAGGTGTCCAGGGAAGGTTGGAGGTGACCCCAGGTGAGCTGTCCCCCCCCCAGCCGTGTCTCACCTGTGCCGTGCCCCGCAGCTCAAGGCCGTGCACGAGCAGCTGGCGGCGCTGTCGCAGCCCCAGCAGAACAAACCAAAGAAGAAGGAGAAGGACAAGAAGGAGAAGAAGAAGGAGAAGCACAAAAAGAAGGAGGAGCTGGAGGACGCCAAGAAGAGCAAAGCCAAGGAGCCGCCGCCCAAGAAGGCCAAGAAGAGCAACAGCAACAGCAGCGCCTCCAGGTGGGCCCTTCCCACAACCCCCTGCGGCCTCCCCCGGTGCCAATTAACGTAATTAACGCAGCGTCGTTAATGAGGGACCCCCTGGGCCGAGGTGATGGCTGGGCTTGAGCTCAGCGCAGGGTTTGGGGCTGGGGGGGGACACCTGGCTGGGCAGGTGGAGCTTTGGGTGGCTCAGGAACAAATTGAGCTCAGCTTTGTGTTCCTGAATGGCTGGAGCTCAGCTTTGGGTGTCCAAAACCAGTTTGAGCTCAGTTTTGGGTTCCTGAATGGCTTGAGCTTAGCTTTGGGTGTCCAAAACCAGTTTGAGCTCAGCTTTGGGTGTCCAAAACCAGTTTGGGCTCAGCTTTGTGTGTCCAAAACCAGTTTGAGCTCAGCTTAGGGTTCCCAAAAGAATCTTGAGCTCAGTTTTGGGTGGTTAGGGCTGGTTTAGGTTGGGTTTAACCTAAACCACCATTTTTTTTTGGCCATGTGAGCAGCAAGAAGGAGCCGGTGCCAGTGAAATCCTCCACGTCCTGCGGGTTAGGGCTGGTTTAAGTTGGGTTTAAGTTGAGTTTAGGCCTAAACCACCATTTTTTGGCCGTGTGAGCAGCAAGAAGGTGCTGTTGGTGGTGAAGTCCTCCAAGTCCTGCAGGTTAGGGCTGGTTTAGGTTGGGTTTAGGTTGGATTTAGGTTGGGTTTAACCTAAACCACCTTTTTTTGGCCATGTGAACAGCAAGGAGGTGCTGTTGGCGGTGAAATCCTCCAAGTCCTGTGGGTTAGGTTGGGTTTAAGTTGGGTTTAGTTTGGGTTTAACCTAAACCACCATTTTTTTTTGGCCATGTGAGCAGCGAGAAGGAGCCGGCACCGGTAAAATCATCCAAGTGCTGTGGGTTAGGGCTGGTTTAGGTTGGGTTTAATTTGGATTTAGGTTGNTGACCCCAAATTGTTGGGTTTGGTGAGCTGAAATCGTTGGGTTTGCTGACCAAAATCATTGAGTTTGTTGACTTCAAATTGTTGGGTTTGTTGACTCCAGATCTTTGGGTTTGTCAACTCCAAATCGTTGGGTTTGTTGACCCCAAATTGTTGGGTTTGCTGAGCTGAAACCGTTGGGTTTGTTGACCAAAATCTTGGAGTTTGTTGACTTCAAATTGTTGGGTTTGTAGACCCCAAATCATTGGGTTTGTTGACCCAAAATCATTGAATTTATTGAACTCAAATCATTGAGTTTGTTGACCCCAAATCGTTGGGTTTGTTGACCAAAATCATTGAATTTGTTGATCAAAGTCATTGGGCTTGTCGACCCCAAATCGTTGAGTTTGTTGACCTCAAATCATTGGGTTTGTCAACCCAAATCATTGGGCTTGTTGACCAAAAATCGTTGCATTTGCTGACCCAAAATCTTTGGGTTTGTCAACCCCAAATCGTTGGGTTTGTTGATCCAGGATCGTTGAGTTTGTTTACCTGAAATTCTTGAATTGACACAAAGTTGTTGGGTTGACTCAAACTCGTTGGGTTTGTTGACCTAAGATCGCTGGGTTTTAATTGAAAACCATTGGGTTTGTTGCTGTATAACTGTTGGGTTCCTTGACCTCAAGTTGCATTGCGTTGACCCAAAGTTACTGGGTTTGTTGAGCTGAAATTTTTGGGTTTGCGGACCCAAAATCGTCGGTTTGACCCAAAATCTTTGGGTTTGTTAAACTGAAATCTGAGTTTTTGGCCTGGAACTTTTTAACCCAAAGGTGTTTGGTTCATTGGCCCAAATTCTTTGCGTTTGTTGGCCCAGAATCTGTGGCTTTGTCAGCCTGAAAGTGTTGGGTTCACCCAAAATCTTTGGGTTTGTTGATCCAAAACTCTGCGTGGGGTCAGTCATGGGTTGGGTTTGATGACCCTGGAGGTGACAGTGACCAGGTGTGTTCAGCCCCAGGTGGATCTCCCACCTTGGAGGTGTCTATGGAAGGTTGGAGGTGACCCCAGGTGTGTTCAGCCCCAGGTGGGCTGTCCCACCCTGGAGGTGACAATGGATGGTTGGAGGTGTCCATGGAAGGTTGGAGGTGACAGTGACCAGGTGTGTTCAGCCCCAGGTGGGATCTCCCACCCTGGAGGTGTCCATGGAAGGTTGGAGGTGACCCCAGGTGTGGTCAGCCATGGGTTGGGTTTGATGATCCTGGAGGTGACCCCAGGTGTGTTCAGCCCCAGGTGGGATCTCCCACCCTGGAGGTGTCCAGGGAAGGTTGGAGGTGACCCCAGGTGGGCTGTCGCACCATACAGGTGTCAATGGAAGGGTTGGAGGTGACCCCAGGTGGGCTGTCACACCCTGCAGGTGTCCATGGAAGGGTTGGAGGTGACCCCAGGTGGGCTGTCGCACCATACAGGTGTCAATGGAAGGGTTGGAGGTGACCCCAGGTGGGCTGTCCCACCCTGGAGGTGTCCAGGGAAGGGTTGGAGGTGTCCCCAGGTGGGCCGTCCCACCATACAGGTGTCCATGGAAGGGTTGGAGGTGACCCCAGGTGGGCTGTCCCACCCTGCAGGTGTCCAGGGAAGGGTGGAGGTGTCCAGGGAAGGTTGGAGG